GATATGCCTGGCGTAGACCCTAGTTTCATTTGCCACCAGTTAAACGTCTTTCCAAATGCACGGCCGGTCATCCAGAGGACACTGTGCTCGGCCTTGCACCATGCCGAGATAATGGCGGAAGAGGTCAAGAACTTGTTGGAAGCAGGGGCAATAGAAGAAGTGCAATATCCTAGGTGGGTATCTAACACGGTGGTGGTGCCGAAAAAGAATGGCAAGTGGCTGGTGTGCGTTGATTATAAGACGGTCAACCGTGTGTGCCCAAAGGATAGCTTCTCCTTCCCACAAACCGACCAACTGGTGGACTTGACCGCTGGCCATCAGAGGTTTAACTTCCTCGACACGTATCGTGGCTACCACCAGATAGCCATGTATGAACCAGACCAAGAGATCACTTCGTTCACCACTCCGCGTGGCCTGTACTGCTACAAGGTCATGCCATTCAGGCTGAAAAACATTGGGATAACTTTTCAAAGGATGGTAACCAAGATGTTCGCTCCCCTTCTGGGCCACACCATGGAGGCTTACATCGATGATATGGTAGTAAAGAGCAAGGAAAAGTCTCAACACCTCGCTGACCTAGCAGAGATGTTCGCTACACTTAAACATCACAAACTTCGTTTGAATGCCCCCAAGTGCGCCTTTGGAGTTGGCACCGGAAAGTTTCTAGGTTTTTTGGTCACGAACCGAGGAATTAAAGTTAACCCTTTCCAAATCAAGGTGATACAAGAGCTGGAGCGCCCAAACTCCACGAAGGATGTGCAACATCTTACCGGGATGGCAGCTACGCTGAACAGATTTATAAGCTGGTCTTCAGATCGTTGCAGGCCCTTCTTCAAGACTTTGAAGGCCAAGTTCTTCTGGGATGATGAATGTAAACGTGCGTTGGCAGATCTAAAAGTATACCTTTCCTCAGCCCCTATCCTAGTCACACCAAAACTGGACGAAGAACTATATCTCTACTTGGCAGTCTCTCAACATGCGGTGAGCGCCGTCCTAGTCCGTGCTGAAGGTACCCAGCACCTTCCCATCTTCTATGTAAGCAAGACCTTGCTCCTAGCTGAATCAAGATATCTGCCACTAGAAAAATTGGCTTTGGCCCTGATGATGGCCTCTAGAAAGCTGGCGCACTATTTTCATGCCCACACGGTCATTGTGCTAACCGAATTTCCACTTAAGGTACTCTTCGAAAAGGCAGATTTTATCGGCAGGATTCTAAAGTAGGCTGTAGAATTAGGACAGTATGATATCAAGTTTCAACCGCGCTCTGCCATCAAAGCTCAAGCTCTTGCTGACTTCATGGCGGAATTTGCTCCAGGAACGCACCCTGTTTGCCCAATCGATGTGGCCAGCGCAAATTTGGCGCAGCCCATGGCTCAGACAGCAGATACAAATAGTGGAAAACAAGTGCCAGAAGGGCAAACGAAAGCCGAACAAAAAATGCAGGAACCAGACAACCTGTCAAAGCACGGACTCGACCGGGTCATAGAGCAGAACTAGGATAAACCGACCAGTACCCTGCAGTTGAAGAGCTCCCAAAATCCCTCCGACTGCTGGAAATTGTTCATTGGCGAGATGTGGAAACTCTTCGTTGATGGGGCCTCCAACAGGCACGGCGCTGGGCTGGGGATCGTCCTAACCCCCCAGATGGGCTGACCATAGAGCATGCGATCACACTCGATTTTCCAGCGTTCAACAATGAGGCGAAATATGAAGCCCTTCTTGCCGGATTGAAAAGCGCATTGAGGATGAAAGCGTCGGAGCTTATGGTATTCAGCGACTCCAAACTGGTAATCAATCAGGTCTCTGGGGAGTATGAGGCCAGGGATGAAAGGATGGCCAAATATCAGGCGCTGGTACGCGCTGAACTCAAAAAGGTTGCTGCGATAAGAATGGAACAAATTAACCGCGAGGAAAACAATGCAGCCGACGAACTAGCCAGCCTAGCATCCATGCAAATGACTTTTCCCAATCCTTTGATGATAGAATTCTTACCCCAGCCGAGCATTGAGAAACCAGGGATGCCCGAAATACTCTGCGCCGACTTGGGACCATCCTGGATAGATCCAATCATCACATTCCTGAAGAATGGAATTCTACCCACCGAAAAGAAGGAGGCCAACAAGGTCAGGGCGAAATCAGAGTGGTTTTGGCTCTCTCCATCTGGCACCTTATATAAAAAATCCTTCACTGGACCATGCCTAAAGTGTGTCCACTCCAGCAAGGTTAAACATTTCCTCTTCAAGATTCATGAAAGCATCTGCGGGAGTCATATTGAAGGCAGATCTTTGGCTTACCGAGCAATTTCCCAGGGTTATTGGTGGCCATGCATACAGGCGGACGCGCAGAAATATGTTTGCAGATGTGAAAAATGTCAAAAATTTACTCACCAAATCCACCAACCGGCTAGAGAGTTGCTCCCCCTTTACAAGTCCTTGGCCATTTGCGCTTTGGGTGCTAGATATTATAGAACTGCTTCCAACAGCTCTGGGCAACCACAAGTTTTTCATCACTACTACCGACTACTTTACTAAGTGGGTAGAGGCCGAACCGTTGGCCACCATTAAGGAAAAAGATGTAAAGAAGTTCATTTGGCAAAATGTTATCACTCGCTTCGGTATCCTAAAGGCCCTCATTTTGGATAATGGAACTCAGTTCGATGGGAAACTCTTTCGCGAATTTTGTGAGGAGTTAAAGATTGAGTTTTACAACTCTACACTGGCCTACCCTCAGTCAAATGGTCAAGCAGAAGCTTCAAACAAAACCATCTTGGACGGGCTAAAGAAGCGACTGAAGAAGGCCAAAGGGAAGTGGGCTGAGGAACTCCCCAATGTGCTTTGGTCTTACTGCACTACACCAAGGTACTTAACTGGGGAAACTCCATTTGCTTTGGCTTACGGCATGAAGGCAGTCATACTATTGGAAATCGACATGCCCACCATCCGATCTAAAAGTTTTCAGTCGAACTTGAACAATGATGCTGTAGCTTTGGAACTTGACCTAGCTGAAGAAAGAAGGGAACAAGCTCTAATCCATATAGCAACTTACCAACAAGAGCTCTCCAGGAAATACAACAAGACCGTGCATCCTAGGCTATTTAAGGTCGGAGATTGGGTCTTGAGGAAGGTAATGGGCAACACAGTGATCCCTAGCGAAGGCAACTTAGGAGCAAATTGGGAGGGGCCATACAAGATAAGTGGCCTTACAGGCAAATGAGCATACCACCTGGAAGACTTAAATGGTAAAGCTATCCCTTGACCACGGAATGCGGCTAATCTCAAGATATTTTACTGTTGAAATGTAATTTTTTCTATTCCTTTGGACTTTTGGCATTGGGTGTAATCAGTGACGTGTAATGGAAGATAGCCCCATCTTTTTCTTATACTATGCGTCTCTGTACAAAGATATTACAAGGATATTAAGCTACTATGAGTGCCAGGAGCGAGTATTCAAAAACGACTTGACTTTGGCCGTACAAACAGTTGGTGTTTTTCCTAACTTGTGTTAGGGCCGAGCTGACATTGCTCGCCCGTGCAAACAGTTGGTGTTTTGCCAAACTTGTGTTAAGGCCGAGCTGACATCGCTCGCCCGTGCAAACAGTTAGTGTTTTTCCCAACTTGTGTTAGGGCCAAGCTGACATTGCTTAACCGTGCAAACAGTTGGTGTTTTGCCCAACTTGTGTTAAGGCCGAGCTGACATTGCTTGCCCGTGCAAACAGTTGGTGTTTTCCCCAACTTGTGTTAGGG